TCGAACCGCTGAAGCGTCGACCATTTCTGGCCGGCAACTTTCAGCGTCATTAAGCCGCTACTCTCTCTTAACTTCATAAACTCACATCTAGTTGAGCACCTTTGATTTAATATCTTAATGCTGACAATTTCCACCAAAGCTTAAATATATATATTATTGCAATTGCCCAGATTATCTGGTTATAGTTTCCTCTCACTAAATTTTGACATTTAGATTGGATCTTTGCCTGTATTACTTTGTAAGGAAAGCAACTTGCAATGCACATGTGGCCGCTGTGCTCCTTTTGGGCAGCCCCACCACTCATACCATCAAAGCTCAGTAGCAAACTGCCAAACTCTAGAGACATGATTTCCTGTGGGAAACAAAAACACAAAGGTATATTAAGCTTTAAGTTGGTTTAAGTCACTTAAAACTGGGAAAGTAGTGGGGGGGGGGGAAAAGAAAGCCCAGCACCACCTAATTACAGTACATCAAAATATCCCCCTCCTTGCCTATAACACCACCACCACCACACCATTACTGGTCACTAGAAAGCTACTCTCCCTAAAATAACATCCCAAATATTTTGTAGTCCATGTCTGCTTAATATAGTAGCTTCCACAATCATAAATTACTCATTTATGTGGGGCAGGGACCTTTTCATCAATACAGATCTATTGTCTATTCATTGTTTGATCCATATTCCATTTCTGACACAGTTTGCCCTGTTTTCTACTGAAAAGACAATCACAAACAGGAAACAAAGTAAGAGTGAAAGCAACTGATATTAGGGGATACAAAACACTTTATTGCACAAAATGGGTTTCAATCCTCTGATTCCTCCACTCTTCACTGTCCTCACTTTTTTGCCACTTCACATCCATACCTTTCCAGAGTAAAATAACTCAAAGGTACTTCCTTATCCATTTTTTCTCCTTTGAAGTCCCAACAAACCTTATTTTGACTGAAGACCTGATCTCTTCTTCCACCTCTTCCTCAAAAATTCCTATGGCTTCTAACTAAAAAAATACCCCCACTTTATTTACAGTAGCAGAGCTTGCTAGTTCTCAGATGGTCAGTGAGAACTATTTTCTGATCCTGCCTCACAAGGCAGATCAAGATCTGGGCACTAAGCAGTTTTTCTTCCAACAAATGACCAGAGTCCCAAGCTCTGAGCTGAATTTCCTGCCTCCTCACCTTCTCACTGCTCCTTCCTGGCTCACTCAGGGCCTTTAGTCTGGCCAAGCGATATCCAGGTTGCAGAGTCACGGTGGACCCCAAACTACCATCAGTCTCCAGGCTGCTAACCTGGACATCATTTAGAATTCACATCCCACCAGGGGGAGAAACCCTCAACGCACAAATATTGGCTTGTGCACTCGCTTGTGGCGAATAAGGGTGGTGCTCTTGGTGAAACATTCTCCACATTCCACGCAGATGAAGGGCTCTGATGGGGTGACCCCATGATGGGCAATGCGGTGGCGTTCCACCTCTGAAGGAGCACGGAAGCGTTGTCCACATTCTGGACACGGGTGGCCGATGGGGGAATCCGTATCATGGCGCAAACGCTGGTGCTTGATCAGGCCAGCACTATGTGCAAAGCCTCGGCCGCATTCGGGGCAACGGAACGGTCGGGCCCCTGTATGTGTCCGCCGGTGCTTGGCCAGGTTCTTGCTTTGTGTGAAACTGCGACCACAGTCCCCACACGTGTAAGGGCGCTCACCAGTGTGGATGCGCTGGTGCTGGATCAGGTTGGAACTCCAGCTGAAGCTCTTGCCACAGTCACGGCAGACATAAGGCTTCTCGCCGGTGTGGGTGCGCCGGTGCTGCACTAGGTGTGAGTTCTGCGAGAAGCTCTTGCCACAGTCAGTGCAAGTGCTGGGACGTTCGCCGGTGTGCGTGCGCTGATGCCGTAGCAGTTTCGACCAGTGGCTGAAACTCTTGCCACACTCGTTACAAATAAAGGGGCGCTGCTTGCTGGAGCGGGAGATAACATTGGTCGCTACAGCCATGTCACCCTCACCATAATTGCCTGGGGCTAACAGATTCCCTTGCCGTTCTATGGTAGAGCCTTCCTGCTGTGAACTTGCCTTCCAGGCGGGTTGTCTGTGCTGGATAGTGGGCTGGATGGCCTCATGCTTCAGATCATCTTCACTCTTGTGCACCACACCTCTGTCGGCTATTAGAGAAGAGAAGCACTTTGTTCAGCACAAAGGATCAAGAACCCAAGGTTCAGATTTAAATGCCAGAAAAATGTACATCTGGGGCTTATCAAAAGAACAACCTATTGCAGTGTTGTCCAAACTTGGCCACTTTAAGATGAGTGGACTTTAACTCCCAGAATTTCCCCCCCCACCAACGCGGCGTGGGGGATCTCTTGGTGGTAAAGAAACCCTCCTTATTTGTGCAACGGGTGTTGGACACACACCCGTAATACCTCCCCTCAACA